GACCGCGTGGGGGTGTGTGTGTGTGTGTGTGTGTGTGTGTGTGTGTGTGCTTGAGTGTGTGAGTGTGTGTGTTACCTGTGAGCGCCAGCAGTAGCACACACACACAGATGAGGACACACACACATGGCAGCAGGATGAAGAGCAGCATTCGCAGATGTTTCCCGCAGCGCTGTGTGTGTGTGAACGCTTCACCCATGATGAGCTCATCTGACACACACACACCTGAGAACACACACAGAGAGAGAGAGAGAGAGAGAGAGAGAGTTTGCAGTGAGTTTGTGTATCAGCAGGACTTCTGATAACAGAATTTAAGAGCCAGATATTCAGCTGAATCACATTCATAACAACAGCTAATATCAGAGTCAGTCATAACGGTAAATGTTCCTATAACGACAGTCATAATGAATAGAAATGACATTTCAGATATGACGCTGTGAAGTTTGATCGCGTGCGCGCGCGTCTCACCGGTAACGGGCTGGAAATCAGCGACGATCCGGAGCATCAGAGCCGCAGACACCTCGAGCAGAGCACAGGCTATTTTTACCCAGGTATTTTTCGCTTCAGAGTTTCCAGCTAGTGCAGGAGAATCCGACACACACACACACACACACACACACACACACACTCACAGGCACAGGCACAACACACAGACGAGAGAGAGAGAGAGAGACTCACTGAATACTTACTGAAAGTTCATTGCAGCCGATTCCATCGCAAACAGCCACTCTCTCGCTCTCTATTCTTGTATTGTGTTATTTCATTTATAACTCAGTTTGTTTATTTTACTCTCACGTATCGGTCTGTCTGAGCACGAGCGTGTCTGCGCGCAACCCGCGCCACACTGACGAGCGAGTCCCGCGCGCTCATTTATATCTCCACCCGACAACACTGAGAGAGAGAGAGAGAGAGAGAGAGAGAGAGAGAGAGAGAGTCGACTGTGTTCTCACTGCACAGAGGGACTCGTAGAGGACGAGCTGCACTTCCTCACACACTGCAGCAAATATAAACACATCAGAGACACTTATTTTACAATAAGTGAATTCCGGCAAGCGAGCCACATAGATAAACTGTTATATTTTGGGAGAGAAAGAAAAGTGTATCCACCTGGCAGCGCAGTATGTATCCTCCTGCCATATTATGAGGGACAAAGGCTAAACCCCCTTTTCTTTATCAATGCTCTCTGTAAATAATTACCTTTTATTTGCTATTGTTTTTTTTCTGGGGGGTTGTGTTATATGTGATAATATATGTACAATATGGCCTAAGAATAAGTTTTTTGTTGTTTTATTTAAATATCTATATACTTGTATAACTTGTTTGCTGTTTATTGCTTTGGCAACATTGTGCTGTTCCACAGTTATGCCAATAAAGCTCATTTGAATTTGAGAGAGGGAGAGTTTGAAGGACTCAAATGAAGACATTAAACCTCAGAATTTATAAAACAGTAACGCATTTAAGACTAAAAGAAAGGCGTAGGCTAAACATTCCCATGAGGCGGATTTTATTTGTTTGAAGTTGTGCGCTACAGGACTGTGTAACATGTTCTGTTTCTTTGTAGCACATTTGAAAGAAGAGATCAGCACAGAAGCTCAGATCAGCTAATTTTCCTCCGACAGACAGGCGTTTGATCGCATTTGACTGATGAGCTCGAACTCACTGCTGATCTACGATCAGTTTCACAAATGCAAAACTAAACTGAAACGAGTAAAGCTGATTCTAATTCAGCAGATGCGGAAAATAATTTATGAAATGAAAAAATGCTTCTCTCTTCTTTTTTTGGATTTCAGCTTTGCTTTGTGCACTAATCTAGTTTAGACTGTTAGAAGTTTTAACTTTAAAGGGGTCATATGATGTTGCTAAAAAGAACATTATTTTGTGTATTTGGTGTAATGAAGTGTGTTTATGCGGTTTAAGGTTAAAAAAACACATTATTTTCCACATACTGTACATTATTGTTGCTCCTCTATGCCCCGCCTTTCATCGCATCATATGACCCCTTTAAAAATGGTGTACTATGAATATTGCTGACTCTTTTGCTTGTGATTTTCCTCGTGTAAATCTGCAAATGAATAAAAAATAAGTAAAAAAAAAGTCTTCCATAGAGCTGGACCTTCTGCATACCCATAAGGACATGTAATATATATGACATATATTGCTTGCTCTATACTGAGTGATATTTCCATATATGTTACCCAGGGGCGGTTCTAGGGGGGGGCCAGTTCCCCCCTGCCAACAAGCTTGGCCCCCCCTTTGCCCCCCCCCCTAAATTTGGAATCATATCACACCAAACAATTTTGGGTGAAATGCGCAGTTTGTCCTGTAAACTAAAACCAGTAAATCCTAATGGAATATGTCCCAAAACACTACAGAAAACCATTTTAATGGTTTTAATGGTTAAAAATTGATCGTTTGTAATGTTATTTGCTGTGGAATCATTACAATTTTCTGTGATGGTTTTATTTATTTATTTTTTGTTTGTTTCTTTTTCAGTAGAGACATAAGCCTATATCTGTTTGTGGCTGCTGTGTGTCATATGACATATTTTAGTTGACATTGTTATAGATGACATCTAGATTGCAGCGATACATGACATGGTGAAAGATTACTGAATGAATAATAGGCTACTTAAAGTAGTTTAAGATTAATTTTAAAATTGTGCCCCCTAAAAGCACAAGTGGCCCCTGTCTGGCCCCCCCAGTTACTGTGGTCTAGAACCGCCCCTGATGTTACCTATGAGGCGGTGTATAATTTTCACATAAGCACATTCTCTGGGTAACGATCGCTCACTCGTTTATCGTTTTCTTTTATCTGTCGTTGTTATAACGCGTCACGTCTTCGATTCGGATTTGACTGACAGACTGACATTCTCTCAGTGCGAGCTTCATGCTTTCTAACCGTATCTCCACTTTTATGTTGCAATTATTCTGCTTATATGCTTATATTCATAATTGTCAAAGTCTGTTTACAATATCTACCATTGTAACATGTTTATATCTGCCAATATACAGTACAGTGTGTGCATTTATATATATATATATTGTATAGTTCAAAAACATTTGGAAGAAAATCTTGATATTCAGAATTAACGATGTCCAATTCATGAAGTCAGAAGTCTGATCTGAATCATTCAGATTGATCTGGTTCGTCAGCGGTTCAGTCTGTTCCCAGATAGCACAGGTACGTCTGCAAGAGGTCTGGTAAAGATCGCTTCATCTGGAGAGCATCTGCTGTGTGCAAACATCTGATAGACGTCTCTAAGATGTCAGTTTTACATTCATTCCAAATCATAAACATCTTAAAGGCATCTTCTAAACATCTATTTGACATCTGTTAGGAAACGTCCAATAGACGTATAGCAGATGAGCAAACATAAAAAATACCTCTAGATGTAAAATAGACGTCAAATAGTCTCCGTGATTGACGTGTGCTATCAGGGTTTTTCTACTGTAAGACACAAGTCATATGGACGATTGTTATGGAACTACATTTTGCTCCAGTTTCCCACTTCCATTGTTGTATTTGCATTGAAAGTGCAACCAGCAGATTCTTGAAGACTTTTAAGAGCCCATCGAGTCTCATCCAAGCGGCAACCTCCCGCTCTCTCTCGTGAAACCAACAAGGAAGTGACTAAAACTGCAATTCATCAACTGGCCGCTAGAGGCTGGCTCCAAAAGAGAGTCAGTCCCATAGACTCCCCATGTTAAAATGCCCAACTTTACAGCAGAAAAAAATGTTTACAGCCTGGTACAAAAAGTGGTTTTGGTCTATATAGCTAATTTTGCCATTCATGACAACTGTGAGGGGGGTGAATTTTTTTATAACTCATCCGTTTAAATCATATGAAGCCTTACACCAAGTTCTGCATAATTAAGGGCGTGGCCACTTGAGTGACAGGTGGATTGCCACTGCTGTCACCGCCGTCGAGCTAGGTGGGCGTGGTTTCAGCAACCAGCTCCCGCCTCTTTGCCCATTTTCGATTATCCGGGAGTGACGCGCGGTGATGTGCTACCAAGATGGCGACAGCCGGCTCCTCCTACTTCAGGCTTCAACAACGCTCTTCGGAAACCTATGGGTGACGTCACGGACACTACGTCCATGTTTTTATACAGTCTATGGTCTCATCACAACTTTTTTTAATCAACCACTCTGAGCACATCAGTCACATACATCACTAACACAAAGTCTTTATTTTTCAAGTTGATAAGGTTACATCACCCAAATGTCACCCATGGAATTGTATTCTCTCAATAATAGAAATAAAATCATGACACTTTAAATTAACTTGACAGTTTTAATAAAAGTGAGGCACAGTCAATCAGAAAATCACAGCTTCCATTGTGTGAAGACTAAATAATCATATGCAGACATGTATATAACTAGCATTCTAATTATCTACGCAAGTCAATTAAAGGGTGAAAAAAAGTTTTAGTTTGTAAAACTGAAAGAAAATACTGTTGACACTCAGGAAGCTGCTGAGGTACGTTCACTGTCCGTCTCCTGATTGGTCAGCTGCAGCAGACAGAACGCCGCCACAGCCAACAGGATGCCACAGATGGGCATCAGGAGGCGGAGCTTATATCTGTGCCACACCCCCTCCTCTGTCTCCACCTCGGTGACTTTCCTGTTCTTCTTCCTCCGTCCTTTCTGTCGTTTCTCAAATGCCTCCAGCTCAGCCTGAAACACACACACACACACACACACACACACACACACACACACACACACACACACACACACACACACACACTCTCTCTCTCAGAGGCTACATCAGCGAGAAGCTCTCATAACCGCAACGGACATCATAGATCCTGATATCCACTAAACCACCCATAACCATCCTCACACTAACCTGCTGATGTGAGGAGATGTAAAGCTAAACATCAACTGATTAAAGAGCCTCTGAAAGACCACCAGTAATTTTTCAGATCTCAATGACATTCATGCGTTTCTCGACTCACCTGCTGTTTTCTCATTTCTTCCTCCAGAGCGGCTCTTTCCTCTGCTGCACAAGCCTGAAACACACACACAAAACTAATTGTCCAGTAACTGTTTCTCCAAGTTTCCCACTGAGCTGATGGCTCTCTTTGTGTGTTTGTGTGTGTGTGTGAAATGGAATCTGTCCATGAACTCTCAGCTGGGTTGGAAAAGTGTCTGTGGGTGTGTGTTTGCTGTTTTAAAGTTTCACACTATCTGTCTGAGCCAAAAGAATCAATGACCCAGCAGTGGCCCTTCTCCATGACAACAGTTCCTGTGTCGCTCTACACTGTGTGTGAGTTACTTTAGGGACAGCATTGTGAACTAAATCTGCCAAAAGATAAGAAAATGTTTTTTATTTGGAGTTTGTGTTAGTGTAGTATGTGCACAAGTGTCTGTGTTACCTCTGCATGTTTCTTCTGTAACTCTCGACACGTCTCATCACACACGACCAAGTCCATCTCTGACCTCACACGAGAACAGGGGAATTCCTAAACACACACAAACACCGTTTACACAGTTAAAGCCATGTGACAACGTCCTTATCATTTGAGCACAAACATTAAATCTATGCTGTAAATCGGAGCGTGAAGATGAAACGCTGCAGAACAGCCAAACTCAATCACAGACACAGACTCGGTCATGATCCCGGTTACATCTACTGTGTGTTGTGACGTGTCTGCTCCAGTGATGCTCCGATCAGGATTTTTGCAGCCGATACAGACTACTGATTTCTTTTCATCATGATTGGCCGATACCGATCATTTTAGCTTTATATAAGTGATACATAAGCTCTCGGTTGACTGCTAACCTTTTTTTTTTTTTAGATAAAATAATACCTCGCTTTATATTATTTACAATATATTGTTGTTTTAATTGATAATCAAATAAATAAGCACAACAAATATTAATTTCACAATTAACATTTTAATAGGCCTTTAAAAACGGCGCTAATGTCAAACTGAACATAACTGCAACCCATAAGGTGACAGGCTGTCAGTGCAGTTACACTGTTCAGCCAGTAGGTGACAGCAAAAAATGTAATTTAATTTACAAGGCTCAATTGACGATCAACGCATCACCTTGTTAATGCTGAAGCTGATATTTCACTTCATAGAGATCACTGGCACTGATTAGGGTGAAGAGGGAGCGACCAGCCGGCAGAGGGTTCTGCTTGGTCATAAAGCCTTCCTCAAACAGCTGCATCCGCAAATAAAAGAATGATTTGTCCAAAAAGAATGATTCATTATCAATTTATCAATTTATGTTATTCGTATGGTCTGGTGGTCATACAACGTATGCCTGCGAATACAGGACAAACTGCGTTCCGTACGGCTTTCATAAGGAACGCTTCTTAGCCTTAAATGTGGGACGATTCCGTATTATACAGAACGGCTGGCAACCCTAGCACTGATTCAACGCACTGAACAGCACTGATGCAGTCATGGGAAATCCCCTTAAACACTGAAAGGATACTGTGACAAAGATATTGTGTTCATCTTCTGACAACTGATGGAAAACAGATGCTTTTTACACAAATATATGACTTGACCTGAAGAAGGACAGACACAGGTAATCGCACATGCTCAGTTCTGCTGTCACTGTTTGTCTGTGTGTGTGTCTGTGTGTGAGAGTGTGTGTGTGTGTGTTGCTGCCTAAGTCCCGTCTCTGCCTCACACCCAGAGAGCAGACAAGATGCCAGAGGCAGCGAATCAGATTCGTAGTATTGAATCCTTTAGCCAATGTTCCTCCACATAGTATTTATTTTTTTATTGTTTCTTCAGACCTCGAAATTCCTCACAGGTGATCGTATTCATATCTATGCTGGTGCTAAAGTTTGACGCCATCACATGTTTTACGTCATCGGTTCATGAGATTGGCCAAATTTAGTGACTTCCGATTAGGGTTAGGTATCGTTTGTTTTTTTTTTCGATACCGGTGCCAAATCGATACTTTTAAAACTGTTCCGGTGCCTGAACCGATACTTATTAAAAAATAAATAAATAAAAATTCCCCCCAAAAATGATGGATTGGCCATTAGCACTATAAACACATGATGTCTGTTTCATTCATACTGGACACTAGAGGGCGCCCTCGCACAGAAAATCCACAAATCCAGTCACAGAAGTAGCAAAACTCGTGACCCTCCAGGAAATCCCTTATATGGGCAAAGACAACGTATTATAGCTGTAACTGAGTAAACAGAACATATAAACGTTTTGAATGATAAAACAAAGACAATAAACACTCGACTGTGACAATATAGTTTATCTGTGTTATTTAAGCCATCTCTGGTATTTTCATAATAATTAAGTATATTTATAATAGGGTGACCATATTTTAGTTTCCCAAAAAAAGGACAGTAGGGGGCGGGGTTCGGGGGCGGGGCTTCACCTAACAGCATACGTAGCAAGGTTTTTTTTTTGTTTGCTTATTTTGTTTTTATAATAAATAAAAAGAAAACAAGTAAGAATAGAAATAGAATAGAGAGTGCAAATGTTAGCGGGTCAAGTTTTTTAATAAAAAAAAACAAGCAGATAACATTAGAAGTAGCATTAGAATAGAGAGTGCTAGAGTTAGAGGGTCAAACGAAGATGAAAGAGATGTGTTTTCAGCCGTTTCTTGAAAATATTAAGGACTCAGCTGCTTGGATTGAGCTGGGCAGGTCA